CCAGTCTGACTACACACAACCAGTGTGAACAGACACAACCAGTCTGACTACACACAACCAGTCTGACAACACAAGATCAGTCTGACTACACACAACCAGTCTGACTACACACAATTGCTCTGACAACACACAAAACCAATCTGACTACACACATCCAGTCTGACTACACACAACCAGTCTGACAACACATGATCAGTCTGACTACACACAACCAGTCTGACTACACACCGGTCCCCACACACACACACCCTGGGCAGCTGCCCCCCCCTGGGGGGGGCGGTTTGCTGGCGGTTTGCTGACTGCTGCTGTGTCTCTAAACAGGCGACTGCTGAGCATTTTATAGGACACGCTGTACCTATTTTTCAAGCTGGAGTATTTTACAAAACCTTTGAAATATAACTGGAGACTGTTTTTCTCAGTCAGAAGTGAGTGCATGGAAAACCACTCCCCATTACAACAAACTATTTAACGATCTGTTGCATGTCGTCTGTCAGATTGGAATTACTTAACCTTCATACATGACAATAATAAAGTAGTTATGTTGTCCACTATGTCTTCATTCTTTACAGAAAAATGGCAGATGATTTTTGAGATATTTGCTGCAATTAATGACACATATAGAGACGCGTTTGTGATGTATTCATTTACATTATGCCTGTTTCTGAGGTAAAAACAGCACATTCTTTTAGCTATAGTTTGGGTCACAGGCTTATGGTCACAGAAAGGTTTGTCCCAGTTTTGAAACATCCTCAGGCAGTTATATGGAATAGACCCAAAGTTAAACTAAATTATAAAATAAGATTGAGCTTAAGTTAGTGTTAACCCTTTAAAGCCTGATCCAAGAATAAAACAAAACAGAAAATTACTTTTTTTTGGTTTGAATTCCTTATTTGGCCAGTAAAAAGAAAAAACAGCAATACATCTTTGATATTAATAATTTATTATTATGCGATAAGTCAAGATTATTTTTTGTGTAGTCTTCTGCCCCCTGTTATCAGGTGTATCTGATTGTGTACAATAGGATTTTGAACAAAGTTTTTACCATTAAATTAAGCAAAAGGTGTCAGACGCAAAACATTTCAGAAACCGTATGTATCAAATATGATACATTTGGCATTATAGGGTTAAATCATCTTTGTTATCCTAAAATGGTGCATTTGAATACACTATGAAGGTGGGATTTCCTGCTTCTGCCCGTGTCCCACCTGTTCCAAACATCCCGAATCCCATTATAGTTAAATAACCACAAAAAAACACAAACAGAGGTAGTCTCTCATTTTTATTCTGACAAATGGAAAAATCTGCTTTTGTAAATGTCGCCTGGAACACTCTTATCTTTGATTTATAGTGCACCTTTTAGCTCAGTTAATGTCATGAAATGTTAGTTTTGGGTTTTTTCTCACAGTCAAACCTTTTATACACACTGACACAAACGCACAGTGGCTCATTTTACACGCAGTCTGGTCGGGTCCTGTTCGCCCCTGAGCTCGAACGACAGGAAGAACAGGAAGGAAATCTCCCAAATATTGCACAAAATGGCAAACGGCTGATTATAAAATTGGCCAAAGTGAAGATAAGCCATGAATTAGCCTATAAAAATTCTTTTAAAACAAATCATTTACCTTACTTAGTTTTTAAATCAAGCACTTGTGACATACACACACACACACACACACACACACATCTTTAGATACACTTGACGGGGAGATGGCAGAGCCGCAGCTCTTTGGTTTTACAGACGGACGGATGGATGTCGGGAGGTTGACAGGAAACTGAAGGACAGTATATTCTCGGCTGATTTAAATCGGGTCCTCCCCGTGTTGGGATTACAGGGACACACGTCTCATGCTTATAGTGCTCGAGGCCTCTTGGGGGTTATTTGTTGGCTAGCTTGTTCCTCTTCTTGTAAGGTACATCGGAAAGATTTGACTTTATCTGAAAGGAGAGAGAAAAGCAGCTTTTACGAGTTTTACCAATTTTTAGACAGGAAATGAACACAAACTGACGTTACAGGGGAAAGTTAGCACAGATCAGCCTTAAAGTCGGACAAAAAGCCGTAAATAATCACAGAATCGAGGAATAATATTCAAACTTATTTGGGATGTGTGGAGGCGTTCACCTCTCAGCTCGGTCAGAATGTCTATCTTCTGGTCCAGGATCTGCTCCAGCTGGGTGGCGTATGACTCCACATCGTAGTCCACCTCCTCCGTCATCTCCAGCAGCACCTTCTCGTCCTCCAGCCAGCGGATCGACTCCTGGAAACGACACCCTGCACTCAGCGCTTCCTGCGTTACGCTGCCCCCCGGAGGCAGAGCCCCGCTACTACACATCTGAGTCATGAACATTTTTTATTTTATTTATTCGTTTATTTGATAGGGACAAGCATGTTTCATGAATCATGTCACACACTACAACATTTTAGCTAAGGCTAATTCTCAATGCCTGTCCCCAGTTAGGCTTTTGCACAAAACACAGTGACTGTGCACAAGGCACAACAGAACAAACTACAGTACACTAAAACATCACAGATATAGGGCCGGCTGTACCTGGAACACCGCCCGGTGGTCCTCCAGCACCTGCTCCTCCATCTCCACCAGCTGAGAGACGGCTTCGTGAAAGGTGAAGAGCTGCGGGGAAACTTCCTCCTCCTGAAACGAGGGCACAGAAGCCGGAGTGAGACTCCAATAAATCGTGTTCGAACACGACCGTTCAGCTCCTCCATTCGTCTCTTTGTCAGACTTTGGATCTCTGTCCTGCCTATGAGCCAGTTTTCAGACACACTTTGCTATCCGGAGGAATTCGTGGAGGATTTTAAGGTGCTGATGCTGCAGAACCAGCCCAGATCATCATCCCTCCCCCACCGTGCCGACAGCTGTGCTGCCTTGTTCTTTTTTCTCCCGCAGCCCAAACAAAATAGCCATATTTTTTTATTCTTCCTCTGACTGTTCTGTCATGACCTTTGACCTTTGAATGGAGCTATCTCTGTTAATTACGATCTCTCGCATTCAGCTCAAACTTTACGAGCTTTTATAGACTTGACTTCGTCTTACGTTCTGTTCGCAGAGCAGCTTCAGGTCGTCTCTTTGGGGAGAGCTGCCGACCCCCCACTGGGCCTCCAGCACCTCCAGCTGGGTGATGTGTCCGTCCTGGTGACAATCAAGGGCCGCTGCTGGGTCCAACGCGAGCGCCTTCACCCTGAAAGGCATCAGATATTACCACAAAAGTCCTGGTGGCCTTTGTTGGGTAAAAGGAGGCAGAGGAGTGCTGCTTTACTTAACTTTAACGCTAAACTAAACGGGTAAATCTGCCCCTGAAGGAAAACGCCCCTTTTACAACCTCTAGCTGACACTTTGAGCCCCGAACTTTCTAACTAAAACAGATATTTAAATGGGTTGATCCAATATCATCCCTCACCTTGATTCTCATTCACCAAAATCGTATTAAATTCTCTATTTCGTACTTTAGGCCGCTCGCCCACACACACTAAAGGCGTTTGCCAGCACATGAAAGCAGCGTCTGCCTGTCTGACGAAGGGGAATGTTTGGACTCGGTTTAGCAAAGTAAATGAAAAGATGCAAATAAAGAGGCGTGCTCGTACTCGTAGGTCGGGGAGAGCTCGGAGCGTCCTCCTCCGCCCCCGCTCTGGGAGAAAGGAATATCCGAGGGACTTATCCCAAACTCCTTCACTCTGCAGAAACATGGCAGGAAAGAGGAAACGGCAGAGAAAGGTCACTCTGGCACATGTGAGGAGGTCAGACGGGTCAAATGGTGAGTTTCAGGAATCCTTTCAACAGTTTAGAGGATAAAAAATGGAGGTTGTCCTCCTAAAAAACCCATTCTGGTTCTTGCTGGTCAGAATCTCCTGTTAGCAGCTACAGAAAATGCCTGGTGTGTGGCGAAGACATTGACATCTACTCTATCTTGAAGTTATCTTCAGATACTACTTAGAAAAAGTACCCATTTTTTCCTTGGGATTATTTTCCAGGATATTTCCAGTTGCTCCGGAATTACAGACACTTCGGCCAGTCCTCCCTGTGCTTTGAATAAGTTGTCTTTTCCACATTTCCACATCATATTTTGTACATTTACTCAGATTAACGACATCAAATGGAAAGTAGCTTATTTAAGACTAAATTAAGTCCTTCAATTTTATTCTATCGATTAAAGTTTTTTAAATGAACCATTTTTCTATTCTTTTCATTTCTATTCTATTCTTACGATGGTTCAATATGAAAAGAATAGAAAAAACAGCTGATCTTTTCATAGTATTTTTGTAGATATAAAGCACACAGTTCTTAAACAGCTTCACTTTAATGATATGATGACTTATATTTTGAGTTGAAAAGCAGATTTTTTAAATTGGACACGCTCGCTTTCCACTCAGTGGGATGTGTTTCACCTGTTGGCGTATCTCAGAGTATTCAGCGTGTTTTCACAGGACGCCATCCCAGGGGAGATGGTCGCGATCTGGAGACGAAAAGACCAGTGAGACGTTCACCCTGTGAGAGAGGCTGAGAGCATTTAAACGGCTCTGTCCACAGCCATGTCCTCCCACCATGCACGTTCTGGAGTTCTCCCCTATGAAGGAGTCCCTCAGCACTTGGGTCAGCTTGCTGGCTCTGAACGGGGTGTGGGGTTTGTTCCTGCCCAGGGCCCGGATGCACTCCTGCCACAACAGAACCACTCATTCAGTACTTATGGAGACAAACGCTCCTGATGCGTTCCCTACTGGACACGGGGATCAGATAAGAGCCAGAAAAGGGTCATTTGCATCCGATACCCGATCCCGGCCTATCAGAGCATGTATTCAAGTTTAAAGTTATTTATTCTACTTACTTAGTTGTCAGACTCATGTTGAACAGGGATTTACTCTGATAACAACTTAATGGTTAGGACACAGACCTGTGGGTTCGGAGATGCTAATGCTAATGTGGGATCGGACTTTTTAAAAACTGGATCAGGAGTCTGGATCGGCATTTTCTCATGCCTGTCGATACGCATTTTTTTGCGAATATCGGCGGCCAATCCGATCCAAATATCGGATCGGGACAAGCCTAGTATATATGTATAGACATATATATATATATATATATATATACTGTTGTATTTCTGGAGTTAGTAACAAAAATACTTTATTTCCTGATTCTGATTCTTTTGGCTCCGAACCTTGAGCGCCAGCAGGCTTTTGTTGATCTCGGCTCCCTCCAGTCGGGTCTGCCGGTCGGCGCTGGAGGTGTCGGCGCCCCTCTCGTTCCCCGCCAGGTCGATGAGGGAGAACTTCCCGTGCATCTTCCCCCGCCGGCGCAGGATGATCTGGAACACGGCGTGGCTCCGGGACGAGTGCGCGTTGGCCGACGTCTGTCCCGACGTCCTGGGGGAGGCCGGTCTTAGCTCTCTCAGCCTCTGTTTGAGCCGTAAAGAAAAGGTGCGGCGCCGCTTACCTGCAGCTGTTTCCCATCTCGATGAGCTTCAGGACGTCCTCCGTGCACTTCACATCCCTCTCCTGCAGCCCCACCACCTGCACCTGCTGCTTCCCGTCCTCTAGGACCCGCAACTTGGCTTTGCGGTTTAGCAGGTCAAACACCTTCAAAGACAAACGCTGATTTAATATGATCTGTATCATTTCTGCCTCTTTTTCACTTCCCTGTGGAGTTCCTCTGTTTTAGGGCCTGTATAGTTTCCAGTAAATCTATTTCTTCAGCCTTGTTTTGAGCTTTTCAAACTATTTCATGTAACTTTCTATGCAGACGACACCTTCTTGTTAATGTTTTATAACATATAACAACCCCAACATATCACAAATATATCAGAGGATAGCTATAAAAAAATGTTAGAATGTATTATCAGTTGCTTAGATTTGCCTTAAATGTCTACGCGATCTACACAAAAAAACACACATTTGTTCCTAACCAAGGAAAACGACTGATCACACTTTTGTCTGATCAGCTTTATCCCCCTGCTGTGTCTTGACACCAACCTTTCCGCTGTAAATCTCAAAAAATGTGGCAAAAACTTGCAGATCCATCTTCTTATAAACCGGCTTTTTCAGCATGAGGAAAACGTCTCTGGCTGCAGAGGAGGGGGTGGAACAAACACAAAGTGAGAGCTGCTCCCCATCCAGAACAAACCATCCCCAGAACCCCGATGGGTGGACCACAGGTCACAGACAGGTCTACGCATGAATGAGTGGGACCTTTTAACCCACAGTCCTCCCTTTGCTCTACAGCTCCATTTTTCATTGTTTAGGTTTACATCAGTACGTCTGATATCCAGACGTCTGTCCATCCAAAGCTCCTGCATGCCCCCAGCTAAAGAATGAGCCTTTTCTTTGAAAAATGGAGGGCAGGAAAACGAGTTTGTCTCATTTCAAAGCTCTATCAGGGGTTATTTTCCATCAACGCAGCAGTACTTTAACTTAAAGTGTTGAGCGATTTCCAGGAAACAGATTAATGAGCCACTTTAATATGGTTCCATCCACTGTTAAACCCATAAATGAATTTAGCTCAGTTTAACTCAACGATCAATATGAATTTTGCTTCTTAACAGACTCACAGCCTTTACAAACAGGTTTCAATTATCAATTTACTGGGAAAACCTGCTAAAGATGGCGGTGAACGGAGAACTGACCGGACAGTGCATAGATCCCTTTGGAGCAGTCCTGGTTCTTTCCTGAGAAGTCGCCTCCCATCGTCTGCAAAGACACACAACATGAGCGGGGGGCCCAGGCCGGACCCTTCAGGCTGAGGCCGGATGGCTCACGTGTGTTTTCCCGCTGCCCGTCTGTCCGTACGCGAAGCAGGTGGCCATCCCGCGCTCGAAGATGGTTTCCACCAGTGGCTGAGCCGTGAACCTGGAGGGGGGGAGAGTTTTTCAGAGTGCTGGACTCCGTCTGAGCTCCTGCAGAGCGGAGGGAGGAACGGACCTGTAGACCATCTCGTTGGTGGAGTTCTCGTCGAAAGCGTAGTCGAAGCGGAAGGTCTGGTTCTCCAGGTAGCGGGTCAGGTCCACCTTCTGCTTGGGCTCGTGGACCATCACCACGTCCTTGCTGGGAATAGTGATCACGTCCAGGTCCTTCAGAGATTGCTCTGTGAGAACAAGATGGAGTTTCGGAAACAGCAATTAGATGCTTTTAGTTCTTTAAACCAGTGTTTTTCAACCACTGTGCCTCGGTACACTAGTGTGCCGTGAGTGATGGTCAGGTGTGCCGTAGAAAATCATCCTATTTCACCTAATTGGTCTAAAAAGATTTTTTGATAAGGAATTAATTATCTGCAAATAATGTGCCATTTTGGAGTGTCTGTGCTGTTCTAGTGACTGGTGGCGTAATCATTGAAGTGGAGATGTTAAGAGCGATTTGAAAGAAGAAATATAAAATATGATAAAAATACATTTTTGTGTTTATTTGATTACTATTCAAGACATTTAAGATAAGATAGGAATAAAATAAGAATAACTATAGTGTTACTATAGGTTACTACAGATTTGTTTGACATTTTTGGTTGGTGGTGTGCCTCGTGATTTTTTCAATGCAAAAATGTACCTTGGCTCAAAAAAGGTTGAAAAACACTGCTTTAAACGAGCGAAAACATCAATATAAACCAGAAAACAGAGTTTATTTCATTCCAATGAGCCCTAAAATCTAATCTCTCTGAGCTCCTCTCCAACCAGCTGTGTGTCTTTTCTCTAAGGAGTATCCAGGGAAACCTCCAGGCTTCTTGAAGGACTTCCGAAAGCTTTTTTTCTGGATGTTCCAGCATTTCTGATGAGGCCTGAACAAAGTACCTAAAGGTCCAACTCCACCTGCTTCTTTGTTAAGTCGTCTGCTCTGTGTGGACACAACACTGGCTCATCCCTTTAGCTATGGGCCTTTTTTTCTGCCTGAATGATTCACAGCTCAGAGTTAAGAGGCTTGCAAAGCAAACAATGAAAGAACTGCTGTGAAAATGAAGAAGAGAGTATAAGTGATGAGAGGAAACAGTGGGTGGAGGTGCTCTTACCTTTTTTATTGAGGGGACGTGCACGGACGCACACACATATCCGGTGCTCCTCGATCTGAAACACCAGCACACGTTCAAAAACACCACATGTATTTTACGTATTTCTTGACTATCTCCACCTCCTTTCTTCTCTCTTCGTATTTTCTCACATACCTTTTAACTCTTTCTCTTTCTCCTTGAAAACCTTCTTTCCTCTGACTGTTTTTTGCCTGAGTTCACACTTTTTTCACCTTCCTTCTCTTCCTGGTTTTCAATCCTTGGCTCTCTGACCCCTCTGTTCTTTCTCCCCTCTCCCACCTCCTCTTCTCCTTCATTTTCACCCTCTTTCCCTCTCCTCTCCTCCTCTCCTTGGATATCCTGTGGATGGCTGCTAGCTGAAACCAGACTCACCAGATCGTTTGAGGTCAAAGGTCTGTAGTCCAGACTGGCTCTGAAGTCTCTGATCATACACATAATCTCATAGTTTGGTAAGTTAACGTCCACCTCCTGCAGTGGGACAGAAAACAGGCCGTCATGAAGCAAAACAAAAAGAAAAGCATCACTCATTTATGTACATATATAAATATAATTATACATATGTAATTGACATAAGCCTCCAAAAGACCCACAAAAGCTAGAAATGGGTCGTTTTAATCATAAGACATAACACGCCATGTGTTTAACCTTTTAATCACAATACTGGGGAGTCCCAGGCAGAGTCCATCCCTCCACAGATCCAAAAGGAGACAGTTTTCATGTCTGAAAAACTACCTGGTACACTCATTTTGGCTTTGAAAAATATCCTTTGCTTCGCATTAATACCAAACATAACAATAACTTTTTTAGGAGAAAGTGTCCAAAAATTAAATAACATCCTAAATTTGACAGTTTATCTAAAATATTGGATACAGTGTACTAATATTTAGAAAATAATATGAACAAATGTGTTTCCTGTGAAGGATTAGAGGGCTTAAAGGGGAAGTGCGGCTCACCTGAGCCCTTTTCTCTCTGAGCTCCTGCTGCTGTAGGCGTCTCTTCTCTCGTTTCTCCTGCAGTTTTTCCACCTCCTTCACACAGTTGGATTTCCTCCGAGCTAGAATTAAAAAAAAAAAACAATTCCACCTTAAACTGAAGTCCAGTCTGAGTGCTTTAACACATGCCTTCTCTTCTATGGGAGCATCTCAAACTTCCTCTTCTGAAGCCTCGATTTAAAAGTTAAATTACCCACTCTTATAAAGGAGCATTTTAAGATAAGTCATGCTTTAATTTGTACTGCTTTCTCATTGTGTAAAACCCAAATTTGGCTTTTTGTGCATCACAGTGATTCAAAACGTTTTGTTGGATAACCGTCTCTGATTTAAAGCCTGAGACATTGCAACATCTTAAAGTAAATAGTATTTTGTAACTTAGTTGTTTGCTTAATTTGGACACAAAATTGTGAAATACACAATTTATATTTGCATTATAGGTTATAAAATGGTAATCCAAACATGTTTCCCTGTTTGATTTGACGAGGTGGCAGATAAATGTTGAATTTAAGGTTAAATGTTGCTGATTATTTAGAAACATTCATCCACCAGAGGTGGCTGCAGATAGAAAACAGGTGGTTTTTGGACTGGATTTAGACGAAAATAAACTAATTAAAGCACCAGACTTTCCATTTAGAGTTACTCTGCGTATTGGAGCTTTTTAATAGCTGAGTTGACCTTATTTCCACATGTCTGCTGATTCAAACTGAGGAACAACAGCGGCAGCATGACGCCAGAGGCTGTGAAAGGGCCTTTGACACCCCGGGGCCTCAGCAGCTGGAGCAGGATGACATCACTGCCTCTGGCTGCTGCCCCCGGCAACAACAACAACAACAACACACACTGGAAGCTTCCTCTGAGGGCCACAGGGACCCGGGCCGAACCGGGCCGGGCCGAGCCGGGCTGGGCCGGGCCGGTGTTGTCGTGGTGATGGGTTTTGAGGGAGGACTCAGGCGCGGAGATGGCGGAAAAACAGGGTTTATTGTAACAAAAGGTGGAAGTCCAGACAACGTACAAAAACACGGCTGTGGCAAAACTATGACAAAGTAACAAAATAAAGATTAACGTGACTGTGGCAAAACATGGCTATGGCAAAAATCAAACCTGACGTGGGGAGACGAGGGACGAGGGACTAAAGACGCAAAAAGAAGGACGAAAACGAACTGGCACAAGACAAGGGGAAATAAGGACTATTTAAACACATGAGGGAGGGGAACCCCAGGTGTACACAATAGGTAATCAAGACGAGACGAGACACCAGACATTCCCCCAGACGTGACGGGTTTTACCGTTCTGCTGCTGGGCCAGCGTCTGGTTGGCGGCGGACTGCGGGGCGATGGAGGGGGGGGGCGGCTCTGAGGCCTGGCTGTGCTGGCTGGGGCGGGCCCGGGTGGTTCCCACCGACGCGGCTGAGGAGAAAACGGTCACTTTTAAACCCAAATCTGGAAACATGGCCGCTGTGAGAGGCGATAAACGAGCACATTTCCCCACACAGTACAGACCAGAGGGGGTTGTTAGGACCCCTCCAGGCCTAAAGGGTGCTGTAGCACCTGGTGGGGGGCAGTTCAATTCAATTCAATTCAATTTTATTTATAAAGCGCCACATCACAACAACAGTTGTCTCACAGCGCTTTCCAAACAGAGCAGGTCAGACCCAACAATTCCCACCAAGAGCAAGCACTAGGCGACACAGGCAAGGAAAAACTTAGGGATTTCACATCTGATTCACATCCACAGCATCAACAATCTTTATACGATCCATTTCATCTGAATCAGGTGTGCAGAAGCAGAAAAACCTGATTCCCCTGAGTTAGGGGGTTTAAACTAAAACCTACCTCTGTTCTCCCGTACAGCGTTTTCCGGTTTGGGTATCGCTGTCCCCCGTCGGGCCTAAAAGACAAAGTCAGTGAAACATTTCATTCTTAAAGACTCCGGTGGGTGCCCTGACTTTGCGTCCCCTCCCAGATCCTCGCACCGTCCCCCTGTGTTTGCTTCCTTCACTTCCTGTTTTTACCACGTCTGGATTTCCCTTTAAGGCCTTTCGTTTTTAATCAGATGAACCTGTGTGCCTCTGTATTTCTGCCTATCTGTGAGGCTTTCACCCCCCTTCTGCAGAGCCCAAAGGGCTGGAAGGGTTCGCCCGTTATTTTATACGGGTGTGATGCAGCAGGAAACCGGGACAACATGCAGGACAGCGTGAATTGAGGAAACAAAAAACAGAGAAAAAAACATGGAATGTGTCAGAGATTCAGAAACGCTGCTCCTCTGTTTAATGTCTATTATCTGCACATTTCTAGTTAGTTTTGAGCTTTGAAAATCAATTAAAGCAGGACTGAAACAATGATGAGAACATATAAATGGATAAATATAATCGAAACACTTAAGTGAGTTTCTATGCCCCTAAAATAAATAAAATAAAGTAATTAACGCGAAAATAACTATAATGGAAAATAAACATATTGTTCTGCTGTCATCTTAAAATATATTAATTTAGGAGAACATTTTAATTTTTGCACTTTCCAGTTGAAATCTATTATTTATCACTGTATTTATTTCTTTTTATCTTTTTTTTATTTTTTTTATTTTTTTACTGTATTTATTTCTAATAATTAACCAACAGCTTGAGCTTAGGGGGCCTAATAAAGGAGAATGAAGCAAAAAAATATAGACATACATACAAAGACGAGAAATCAGTATGATGATTTAAATGGGGGGGGGCAGGATGCATTGGGTAAATAAAGAATACATCTATAAATAAAACTTTTAATGAAAATAAAAGTAAAACAAAGTAAAGAAGAACAAAAAACAATTTAAGGGGGAAATAATACAGAAAATAATACAGAAACAAAACAATATATGAACAAATTAATAAAGAAAGAAATGAAAAGAATCATCAATTAAAAGAAAAAATTAAAATAAAACTTTGGTGACAAAGTATGATAAAGCATATTTAACATGTTTTTAAATTAAATAACTATCTATTTGGAAAAACTGGATCAAACATCTGGACCAAGGGGAAATATTTTACATTGTTTAAGCAAAAAGTGACAAAATTGAAACATTTCCAGCTCCTGAATTCAGGATTTATTTGCTTTATAAACTCTACAGTGAGCATTTAGCATTTTCTTACTGTAATTCTGACAAAAAAAGTAAGGAAAATCAAATGTAATCCTTTTGTTAGTAAAAAATACCTTTGAAATGAACATCTGTATTCCACAGCTGGCACTAATAAATGAGTCTTATTTGGTGTTTTCAGAATGGAAGATGTTTTTCATGAGTGTAGTTAAAAATATTTGGGAAAAAGATTAATAAAAAATGAAAATTAAATTGAAAAACCGTGTTAATTAATATGGACGACTCTCTTAAGAAGCTGCACAATATTCTATAAACATGTAAGAAACTGCTGATAGGAGCATCTGAAGAGGAGCAGACCTTTGGGACTTTGCTTGTTTTGGGGACTCCGGATGGAGGAAGAGGAGCCTCAGGACTCTGTGGTATTTCTTCATCTGGAGCAACATCTGGATTCAAGGCGAAGATGCTCTCCAGGTCGATCTAAGACGAGAATGAAACAGATACAAGGAGTAAATCTAGGTGTGACTTGCTGCTGTAGTTTCAGAAGGAGGAAAAAAACTCCTTCCTGGGTTCATATCTAGCAGTTTTAGACATACATGGTTCTGGTTCTGGATCTGGTCTGGAGTCTCAGAACTACGGCGATTTCTCCTGAACCAGAACACATTCACAGCAGTTTGTCCAGAACCAGAGAGGGAGGGAGTTACTCGACAAATTGGAGTTGCCCTGCAACTCGACCTCAGATAAGTGGAAGAAAAGGAGCAACGGTTTGGATCCAGATCTAAAAAGTGAGGCGAAATTGGACCTGAAACACACTGCATCCTCTGAGCAAAATACCAGATAAGCACATTAAGACCAGCACAGAAAAAATCAATGAAGGACAGCACAAACACACAAAGCTAAACTTGGGAGAGTCCGTCAGAAAACAGAGCCTAAAAAAGGGGGATAAAAGACTAAAACAGGACACAAAATGAATGACTAAAAGCTCCGATAAGGACAAAAAGGAAGGAAAAAAACAATGCCAATGCTGGGTTATAGAAAAGAGCAAAAAGTAAACTAGAATATCAAAAAATAATCCACAACCCGAACAAGTAGATCTGAATCAATGCACATACACTGTCTTTAAGTTACTTTAACTGTGTCAAACATATTATACATGCAGAGTGACATGATTTCTGCCTCTTTTAGACGTCTGATGAAAGAAACAGAAAACTTATTGAATTAGAGCAGCTTTGCTGTGGATTCAGCTACAATAATGTATCAAAAACCTTTGCAAAAAAGAAAGAAAAAAGATGGAAGTTTGTAGCAAGAAGGAAGCTGAGAGTATGAATACTGATAGGATCCCTGATCACTAGTTAGTTAGTTAGTTAGTTAGTTAGT